TCATCCAGAAGTTAATTTGTTGAAATACTCAGATAAGCAGATTTTTGTGACTGAAATCTCCAGCTTTCAAGAGGTAGGGGATGGACCATCTGCCCGCATCTCTCTTCCAGAAGCCTGACAATCATGCACACGCCCTAAAGCTGCCAGTCAGTTAAGAATTTAACTGCAACTATATTACCCTGTTAGAAATTTTGGACACTCTGAAGTGTGTGGCTGTGATTTCAGTAGAGCAACATCTCAAATTCTATAACACTGATAAACCAGGAGTAGCACACCAGATTGGATGGGATGTAGTGTAGAAGGAAACCAATCTCGATTTAAAAAATATTAACACAGAAGACTTAACCTGTAACAACATCTTAGTAATCTCTTATACAAGGGGTTAACGGCTTCCTGGTGAGATGCAACAGTCTTCATGAACTTTATTCTAAAGAAACATTTTTGATCATCCTTTTAGCAAATTATTTATAACAAGAATCACCATAGCACTGTAGCACTGTCCTCCTGTTGTTCATTGATTTGCTTGAACAGGCACCAGTAATCTCTCCATTGTGAGACTTGTTGTTACTGTTTTTGACATATTGAATACACCACAGGGAACTTGGCAGGCTCTGCCATGCGGGCGGGATACTCTCAGTAGCTTGCCGGGCTCTCTGAGCGGGACAAAGGAATCGAACCTAGGTCGGCTGCGTGCAAGGCAAAAGCCCAACCTGCTGTGCTATCGCTCCAGCCTTATAACAAGAAATGTAAAATAAATTATTGAGAAACTTCTGTGGGGGCAGGTTCAAGAGAAGTTGGGAAAATTGGAAATAACAGTGGTGGGAAGTTACAATGGTGCGGAATATTGAATGTCTGTAAATAAAGTAATGATTAAATAAAGTTATTTTAAAAAATAAAATAGAAACCAGTTCTAAAAATAAATAAATTAAATAGGATAAATGTGATTTGGTAAATGTCTTACTTGTAAATGGCATGAAAGTGAAAAGCATAAAATATTTTGGAAGGGCAGGATTTGGAAGTCGAAACTTTTTGGCACATTAGAATAAGAACCCCATTCCAAAAAAAGAGACATATTAATGAAGTGAAAACTAAAGCATTCACTTTGTTCTAACAAAAAAGAAGCAACAATAAAGAAGATAATGGCAACCTATAATAGAGCAGTAGCAAAATAACTTGGTATAGTTTTAACACATCAGTCTCGGACTTTTGAGGCTATAGAAAATGGGATCACAGGGCACCCTTAGCAGGAGAGATGTACAACTATTCCCCTGTCTGAATATGGGAAGTGGGGTTATTGCGTGCTACCTTCTCCTTTTCACACTCTTTCTTGATCTTTCTTACATCTATGTAATCCATGAGTTCTCCTTCAACTTCTTAGATGTAAAACAAGGCCTGCAGGGAGCTGGTTTGATTGTCATCTCCTTTCTAGGTTTCTTTGCACGAGCTCACCTCAGGGGTCATGGACCAGCTCTGGGATGCCTTTGAGCCAAGCATTCACCTCATATTCTGTCAGTGGCCATCTCTGCTAAGACAGAAACATACCCATGCCTTTCTCGATAGAAAAGTGGGGATGTAGATACTGGATCGTGAATCTGTGATAGAACTGTGACCAGTGAGCAAAAGCTATGGGAGGAGTGTTCATTCCATTAAGAGCTCCTCAAATTGAACAGGTTAGACGCAAATAGGTGGTGAGATACATTGAATTTTCAGACCCTATCCAAGTCTCAAAATTGTGCTTTTATTTTTATGATTATTCCTTATTTCTAGAAGCATCTAATAAAAAATAATCTTTTCTCATTATTATTAAAATTAGGCTTGAAGGTAATTCTGCCACATTATAATTATGCTTTGCCTAAGGTGTCAAAAACATTAATTTTTTTTGTATTAGCCTCTTAAGTAAAATATATATCATATGTGGGCTATTTGTAAATTAGATTTTATTATAGTAAATTGCAATGCTATTTAAAGAAAGTCATTTAGATAATGCAATTGTAATGTAATTGTAACTGCAACAATGATACTTCTCTAAGTTGATGAGTGTAAGAATGCTTAGTAAATTTTTTCCAAATGAATAGCAAATGATATTCCAGAAACTTCAGATATGCTTTTAAACTCTTTTATTTGTTTATTTTTGTTTTGGGGCCAAACTTGGAGATGCTCAGGGGTCACTCCTGGCTCTACACTCAGGAATTACCTCTAGTAGTGCTCAGGGGACCATGGGATATGGGGAATAGTACAGCAGGTTGCCCTGAATGCAGGTCGATTGTGCTGCATTCAGGGCAACCTGCTGTACTATCTCTCTGACTCCAGGCTTTTAAGCTTTTAAGTCATGATTAACTTTGCCATTTAGGGTAAATTTAAGTGATGATTTTTCTGACATATGCCTGAACTGGTATAAAAAACAACATCGTGAAATTTCACCAGTTAACCAGTATGTGTGTGTGTGTGTGTGTGTGTGTGTGTGTGTGTGTGTGTAATATGTATGTGTGAGAGAGACACACACACAGAAAGAGAGAGAGAGAGAGAGAGAAAGAGAGAGGATGATAAAATTCATACCACCAAACACAAACATCAATCTTCTCCCCCAAAAAACAAAACTTAGATTTTAAAAGACATAAACCAGTACCTGTATTGTAAACCATAATGTCCCAAAGGGCGGGGGGGGGGTGTTAAGAGGAAGAGAGAGAGAGACAGAGACAGAGACAGAGAGACAGAGACAGAGAGACAGAGAGATAGAGAAAGAAGGAAAGTGCCTGCCATAGAGATAGGGTGTGGGGAGGACAGTAGGAGGGATACTGGGGACATTGGTAGTGGGAAATATACACTGGTGGAAGGATGGGTGTTGGAACACTGTATGACTAAAACCCCATCATGATCAGCTTTGTAGCCGTGTCCCTAAAATTTTTTTAATAAGTGTTAAAAAAAAAAAGACCCTCTTAGAATTGGGCCAAGGATATAGCTCAGAGACAGAAAAACTTGCCTTGGCTTTGTGTGAGGATCTAGTTCCCATCCCCAGATCTTAAAAAAAAAAAGTGACTTGAAAAAAGTGGCAATGCCAGGAAGATTCTCAGATGCCTCTTTCCACTTTCCATGTGGGAATGCATTGTGAGGAAACAAAACAGAAGACGACAAAAATCCAGATTCTGGGTGGAGTTGCTTTGCCTCCAGCTGCTTGTAAGCTTCGTTCCCTGGAGGCACTGCATGACTGGGAGAGACTGTGGCTTTGTTCAAAGTTCACTGCCACCATTTTGGAGACTAGACGAAGCTCTCTTGGCTCTAGTTTCCTCATTTATAAATTAGGGATAATAATAGTAGTTAGGTCAGAGAGTTCTTATGACATTAAGGCACTTCTCAGCCCAGTGTCTAGCTCGTACAAAATGCTCAATAAATTAGCTCTGATGTTTATTTTTGTCTCTATTATTCTTTAAGGGGTGGGAACCTTGATATTAGGTTTTCTGTCCCCAGAGAGCCACTGGCTTCAGTCCCTAGACCGAATCATGTCTCCCTAGTTTCCATCATACCCAGCCCCTCTCGAAATAGACTCGTGTCCTGCCCTCAGCCCCTCCCTGGACTCTCTTCTTCCTGGAAGCCTTGATTCATTTTGTTACTCCTCTGATTGTTAGCACCCAACACTGTTTTTCTCAACCCTTGGTTCTTGCCTCCTACAAATTGGGAAGCGATTGAATGAGATCCCATTGGTTATAAATTGAATAGAATTGATTTAAATTGTATTTGGATTTAAACACACTTGATTTACCTGGTACAAAATGTGTAGAGAGGGGGCCAGAGCTATAGTACAGCATAGATGGTGCCTGCCTTGCATGCAGCAGACCTGGGTTCAATCCCTGGTATCTCATATGGTACCACGAAGCACCATCGGGAATGATTCCTGAGTGCAGAACCAGGCGTAACCCCTGAGCATCACCGGGTGTGACCCCCAAAGTCAAAAATAAATAAATGATTAAATAAACAAAAACTTTCCTCTTAAAAAAAAAAGTGTAGAGAAGGTGCACTAGAAGTGCTTCTCATCTGACTTCCAGAGAAGATAGACTACAAGAGAGTCTCATCTGACTTCTTTTGGGGAAAAAGTACCTAAGCTTGAACTCCATCCCATTTGAGATTCTGGTTTACTAGGTCAGAGAGGTATTTAATCTGCATGGGGCCAACTCTGCTTTTTTTTTTTTTTAAAACTCTCCTTCTGGTACTAACGTGCAGGCAGGCTTAAGGTTCATTTTGCAAGGCCAAGGTCATATTTTTTAGTGGTGTCAGTCCTACTCTTTTTACTAAAGAGTGGCCCAAAATTGTGGTTCCAAAGAGGTTCTCTCAACCAACCATTGTGTAATTTTCACCTTTCTCATCGAAGTGCGGTATTAAATAAACAGCTACTCAAACATTTCATTCATTTGATTTATTTTCTTTCTATGAAGCTCTATCTTAACCTTATTTTCTTTCTGTGATCTCTTTAGCAGTTTTTTTCTATTCCCGTTTGCTGTCTTATCACACTGCTTTCAAAGCCACCTCTAAAGTGTAATTGCATTGCTGAGTTCCTCTCTGACATCGTCAACCTTGATCAAATACTTAGTTTTTCATTGTTTGCTCTTGCTGGTCTGTTTTTCCCAGCTGCGGCCTGTGTGTGGCTGTGACTGTGAACTAGAGTGTATTCCCATGAAGTTTGAGAGTAGAATGAGATCTCAGGCCTTTTGTTCCTTTTGATTTTTGTACTCTGGTGTTTCCTGCTATTTAGAGGTCATTCAGATCCCAGAATGTAATTGGAATTAGGTTACCCTTTTTTCATTTCTTCTTGCCACCGAATTACTGAAAGTTACTTAGATGTTGATGTCTTTAACTACAAGTAATGCTTGGTTAAAATTAATTATGGAATTTATTGTGTATCGAGTTCCGCATGCCAGCTTTAGAAGGATAGAGGAATGAAACCTCAGCTTAATGAAATTGACTGAACCAAAATAATTGACATTGTTCTGTGTCTTCCTCATTTTCAGGAATTGCTATTCTTCCTCAGCACCCACTACCTCTGTTTACCGAAGACTGACTAAAACTGCTCTCAGCTGTTGGCATCATCCCCAGGAAAGGACAGTTTCAGAACATTAGGAAACAATTGAGGGGACTCTTGGCCCAGCAGATCTTCTGAAGGTGAGAGTGAGTCTGTTCTTTCATTTACTTTAGAAGGCTCTGTTAGCTGTCTGTGTTTTTTTTAACATTGCTTGCTGGAAAAGGCGGGCATAAGGAACAGGACATTGAAAATGCTCTGTGAGCAATTGGGAAACTTTCCTTTCCTTTTCTTTCTTTTTTTTTCAGGAGAATTTTTTTTGTGCTTATGAAAGAAATAAGTCAACTCCTTGGATTTAATAGGAATTTATTTTATGGTGAAATCTGATTATTGAAACACCCTCCCCCCTCCCCCCCCCCCCCCCCCCCCACAGACCAAACACATTTCTCTCTTCAGAGAAATGCTTATGTATTTGGGGTTTTTATCAGCCTTCACATCTGCTTTAGCAATATACTTACATGCAGGTTTTTCTGGTGTGGTGGTTGGGAACCATAGACCAGATAGGTCACCATGAAAGCAAGGGCTTCTCCTTGGCCCTCCTCCTCAACTCCCCACCACCTTATTCCCAAGGAGGTCATGATTCACGAACGTCTGCACGTGCTCCTGCACACCCACCACTGGACATTCTGGTTCTGCCAACCCCACATACACTTGTCTGACTGCACTGAGACCTGTTTGATCTGTGCAATGCGGGCACTGGTCCTTACAGTGTGTGTTTTGGGGAAGCCGTGGTTTTCAGGCCGGGACCAGGTTATGCTCTTCAGGAAAAAGGAAGTCCTGACACCGGCCTGAGTTTCCCAGGTTTTTTGTTTTTCTTGTAGAAAAGAATTTCATGATAAGACAATGAAGCAAAATATTTTGATTTCAGAAATAGGAGAGTCTCGTTAAAAAAAAAAAAAAACCAGAAAGAAATTTCATACCCCAGGTCAGGCAACCCCAGAAATGGAATACCCAATAACTAAAGGGGAAAAGTTGCATAATCAGGACAAGAGTGTACCTAATTTCTGCTGCAAAGCTGATTTTTATAGGTCTTTTTTTCCAAGCTGCCTTGGTCAGGAGCTTTCTAAGTAAGATTCCTTTGTTTTGGCTTTGACTTTAATCTGTCTCCATTCAGATTTACAGGCCTCTGTTCCTGGGAATCACCACCAAAGGGAATACAGCCTTGGGGTTTTTGCTGGCATTCTAATGAGGGGGACTGGAAGCAGGAGGCAGGACCTCCTTATCAGATCACATCTTGGTTTTATGACTTCTTTAAAAAAATGTTTGTTGCCTAGGGCCCCTCACCTACCTGACTACCTACTTCAAAAGCATTTGTGAATCATGAGGTGTCCTTTGCACAAGTAAACAATTGTTATTTATTCCCAAACATTTATGATGCTCCAAAATGCTCTGATACCTCCAATATACTTTTTCCTTTATATTTTGAATGACTTTCAGTTTGATATGGTAATCTTTCCTTGGATTTTCTGCAGCACCATGATTAAATCCTTACCTTCAAGGAATATCTGTTAGGCACAAAAGTCAGACATATAAGTAGACATAACCATCTTCAATATGATGAATGTGACTGGAGTATAGAGGGTTGTGTATGTAAATGCAGAATTCTTAGAGGAGGTGGCTCCTGAAATGTCCTTTAAATGATGAATAGGGGTTTATCTAGAGACTGTGCAGGTAAGAGCAATGGGAATGGGATGTGAAAGTCATGTAGGAAAGTAATAAATTGTTCGGTTTGTTAAGTCATCAGCTGTGTGTGTGTGTGTGTGTGTGTGTGTGTGTGTGTGTGTGCAGGGGATTTTAGCTAGGTATAATTGATGTTTTAGGTGTGTATAGAGAATGAACTGGAGGTAAGATTTATTGAGGATTCATTTTGCAGTGGTTTGAAGAAGAGATGGGTGGCCTAGGATTTAGATAGAAGAAGTAAGGAATAGAGAAAATAATTTAAAAACATTAGATTATGTTTAGTATGGTGTTTGATTGGGCATTGGAAGTGAGGTAACATATCATTCAGAATTCTTGTATTTTTACTTAAGTGAGCCCGGCAAGCTACCGAGAGTATTCGATATGCCAGACACAGTAACAACAAAGTCTCCAATGGAGACGTTACTGGGCCCGCTCGAGCAAATCGATGATCGATTAAAAATATGATAAGATTGTAAAGGAGATTTTCAGACTGATTCATGAGGAAGTCTTTGACTTATGTTGGTATGGAACATCTTGGTAAAAGTGAATGACAACGGAAGTCTGTGTAAGTTAGGGGAGAATTTTGTGGAGAAATGATTTTTGGGGGTATAACAAATACGAAAAATTTTTAATAGAGGGATAGGTGTTAGATTTTTGTATGACTGAAACTCAGTCATGAAAGCTTTGTAAGTAACTTATGGTGATTTGATAAAAAAAATTTGTAATACATAAATGTGACTTTGGAGCGAAATGATAGTACAGCAAGTAGGGTGTTTGCCTTGCACACAGCTGACCCAGTTGCAATTCCTAGCATCTCATCTGGTCCCTTGAGTCCCATTAGGAGTGATCCCTGAGCACTGAATCAGGAGTCTGCCCTGAGCACAGCCAGATGTGGCCTACACACAAAAACAAAACAAAAAGACATTTGATTTTATAGTCAAACCTATGATTTTAATTTATATACATGAACTGAGAATATATTCATTTTCTGTCTATGTTGACTTGGCACACTTTTTCCTTTGTATCTTAGTTATTGGTCTTATTTTCTTGATGTAATAAGATTTTTCCTCTGGACAGATCTGATTTTTTTTTAAGCTTGATGAAAGAAAAATTTATCAGCATTTAAAATCAATGTAGCACAGTAGCACTTTCCTCCCATTGTTCATTGATTTGCTCCAGCGGGGCCCAGTAACATCTCCATTGTGAGACTTATTGTTACTGTGTTTGGCATATTGAATACATCATGGGTAACTTGCCACGCTTTGCTGTGCAGGCGAGATACTCTCGGTAGCTTGCTGGGCTCTCCGAGAGGGGTGGAGGAATTGAACCCCGGTCGGCCAGGCCGGCCTCGTGCAAGGCAAATGCCCCACCTCTGTGCTATTGCTCCAGCCCCAAATTAGTGTACACCTGAAAATTTAGAAGAGTTTCAAAGTGTGTGCTATTCTGCATTTGCATTCACAGTAGTGACAGGAATTATTTTTTAAAGGTAATTTTCTTTCCAACATATACTTCTTTTTCTTTTTCTTCTTCTTCTGCTTTTTTTTTTTTTTGTATAAATCCTAGTTTCTCTTCAATTCCTCACTTGCATTTTTGTGCCCTGGATTTGAGCATTGCTTATGGGAGACTGAGCAGGATCTTTCATTCTTCTGTGGGTAGTGCTGTGGCCCCTCCCTTTGGGTCTTCCCTGCATCAACCCAGAACTTGATTAAGGCCTGTTGTAACAGAGGCTGCACTGTTTGGCATCAAGTTTACCAGCATTAGACTTTTGAAATACATTACTCAGAGCTTTCTTTGAGGGAATGTCATGGGTAAAAATTTTAAATTCAAATAATACTTTACAATAGTACTATTTGGAGTGAAATTTCATGTGATTACTATTGCCTTAATTAATATAGTGATTTTTTTTCCTCTTAAGACCTGTTGAAAAATTGTATGATGTTTCCGTTTTAATCTTTATAGTCATCTTTACTACCATGTTTCCAAAAATGTTCAAAATCAATTCATCTATAGCACAAAGCACACTTTTATGCACAAAGTAATTAAGTTGAAATAAAATCAGCAACTTAATGTGGACATTTTGAGACTTAATTCTGGAGGCTTGTCCTCTTGAAATTCATCTTATCCGCTCTACCTCCTCGTTTTTTTTTTCTAATTCAAAATCTTTACTCAATTATGAAGTTATCTATGCCTTAGAATGAGCAATGGAATTGAGTCAGTTTACACAAATGGCAGTTGCTTTGGTTGATCACTCCACGGTTAGCAAATGTTTTATTTTAATATTTTAGGATCAAATTAAGGTTTTATAATTTTTTATTTTATAATTAAAAATTTTACCATGAATTTTGCATTTGATACCCCTTATTCCTCTATGTAATTCCACTCTTATATGAATATTTGAAGAAGAATCAAAGAATTTATGTTTAATTTCAGCTAAAAAATAACAAAAGCATCTCAACAGTAGTTACCAAGCCAAATTTCCCCTATAAGATAGATTAGACATACCCACTAACAAAGCAAATACTAGTTATACAGTCCGCGTTCTTAAAATATTCTAACTATTTTAGTTTTACTGGTTGTTTTAAAATTAAGGAAAACTCATATATTAAGAAGGACATTCCTGATTATTTTAAAACCAACATTTTAAACACAAGTATTTCAGATTTGGCCAAAGATGTTACAACACCCTATGAATGTTGTGTATAGAAAATGAATTTCTACAACTGCTGAGTTGGTGTAGCTTAGAATGACGGCACATGCATGCAAGTTGTAGGTGGTCTCACGGACAATGACTTGTTCTCTGATTCACAGACTGGTCAGTCATTGCTGTGAAACCAGTGGGCTGTGAATCGTCAGGGTGCATGTACAAGACATGATTCACTCATCCTGAAAGCTGCCAGTAACAAAAGGAGTTTCCTCTTGTTTATGTGCAGGGTACAAGGAATATTTCTCTCTTTCTCTCCTTGTCTATTTCTATTTCCCTCTCTATGTCTTCCCTCCCCCCCCCACCCCTGTCACTTCTATTATTTGTCTAACACATTCTGATATTTCTAAAATGTAAAATCCCTAACTATTTTTGTTTATGAAGCTGGCAGAAGGAAGTATCTTTTAAAAAACTGTTTTTTAATTGAATCACCATGAGATACAGTTACAAAGCTTTCATGATTGAGTTTCAATCATACAATGATCGTATACCCATTCCTCCACCAGGGCACATTTTCTGCCACCATGTCCCCAATATCCTTCCTGCCACCCCACCCCCGCCCTATCTCAAACCCTGCTTCTGTGGCAGGCACCTTTCTTCTTACTCTCTCTCTACTTTTGAACATCATGGTTTGCAGTACAGATACTGAGAGACCATCCTATTTGGTCCTTAATCTACTTTCAGCACACATCTCCCATCCCA